TAGCTATCAGCCGATATACAAATACAGGGACTTGACTTCCTGGGGCAGCTTCCTACTGATTGGTGTATGCTAAATCTATGTAGCTGGCCGACCCTTCTTTACCTTGATAGTGGGATTACATCGGCCAATTCATCAACACAGGGTTATTGGCCCTCATCAGCCCATCAGCAGGCACCATCAACTATGGCCTGTTTGTATTGTCGGGCCTCTCAGTGTTGGTGGGTGATTCCTACTAACTGCCCTGACCCATGAGTACGAAGACCAGGGCCCACAAACACGATGGCCAGCATCCACGAAAGCGACAACCAGTGCCCATGCATATGACGATGACCAGCGCCCACAAGGATGACTACCGGCGCCTATGCAAATGACGACCGGCGTCCATGAAAACGATGACCAGCAAGTGCCCACAGCACACCACCATCGACCGCCCACTCCACCAGTGTGCACCCACATCACCCCTCCCCAACAGAAGGGCACGTCACTGTGCCGATGGAAGGATGACGACACGGCTCCCTCACTGCACCACTCCCCATCTCCCTCCTTGCCCACCACTCCCTCCCCCTCTCCCTCACTGCCCACCACTCCCCCTCTCCACCACTCCCCACCACTCCCTCCCTCCCTCTGTCATTGCGCACCACTTCCTCCCTCCCTCTGTCATTGCCTGCCACCACTCCCCCCTTTCCCCTTGCCTATAACCCCTTTCCCTCCTCCTTCATTGCAGTTTTCTGCCTACAAACCCCTTTCCCCCCTCCCTCATTACCTAACACCCCTTTTCCCCCTCATTGCCTAACCACCCCTTCCCCTCCCTAATAATGGCCCACCCCCCCTCTCTCCATCTCCCTCTCTTCCCCTCACCCTCTTTCTCATTGCCTGCCTAATCCCTTCCTCCCTCCCTTATTGCCCTCCAACCCCACACCCTCTCCCCTTTTCTTTGTTTCTTTATTCAATAATCAATGTAGTAATGTAAATCTATGTAGTTGTATTCAATCAGCTGAACCTTCTTCTCATGCAAGATATAAATCAAAGATATATCTTGGTATTCTATCCTGGTTCAAAAATACTGACAAGAAAAGTTTGTGAAATATTTCTTATTGTATTTGGAAATGTTCAAAGTTCAAAGATCTCTGACTGGATAAGAAATCTTCTTCAAAATGTTTGTACTGACAAGAAGTCTTTGTGAGATATTTCTTATCATATTGGGAAATGTTTACAAGTTCAAAGATCTGACTGGACAAGAAATCTTTGTGAAATATTTCTTATTGTACTTGAAAAGGTTCAAAGGTTCAAAGATATCTGACTGGATAAGAAATCTTCTTCAAAAGGTTTGTACTGACAAGAAATCTTTGTGAGATATTTCTTATGATATTGGGAAATGTTTACAAGTTCAAATATCTTTGACTGGATAAGAAATCTTTGTGATATATTTCTTGTCATATTTGGAAATGTTTAGCTTGTGAAGAATTCTTTTAAATAAATATTTGGGAGCAAGAAATGTTTTGCAAACTAAGAAATCTTTATGAAATTTTTTGGAAATTTTTGACAGGTTAAGAAAGGTTTGAGTTTCTTTCAAGTGGTGAACATGGTAGATAGAAGGGGGGTGTTGGTGAAAACAATAGGGGAAAGCTGCTGGGGGATGCTAACTTGGATGAGTTTTAAATGGTGAACATGGCAGATAGAAGGGGGGTGTTGGTTAAAATGATGGAGGAATGCTACTGGGGGATGCTAACTCAGATGAGTTTTAAATGGTGAACATGGCAGATAGAAGGGGGGTGTTGGTGAAAAGAATGGGGGAAACCTGCTGGGCAATGCTAACTTGGTTGAGTTTCAAATAGTGAACATTGTTGATAGAAGGGGGGTGTTGGTGAAAACAATAGGAGAAAGCTGTTGAGGGATGCCAACTTGGTTGAGTTGAGAAGTGGGATGTTGATGAAAACAGACCGAAAGTGGTGAACATGACAGAGAGAAGTGGGGTGTTGGTGTAAAAAACCTTAGAGTGGTGAACATGACAGAGAGAAGTGGGGTGTTGGTGAAAACAGACTTAGAATGGTGAACATGACAAAGAGAAGTGGGGTGTTGGTGAAAACAACCTTAGAGTGGTGTGAACATGACAAAGAGAAGTGGGGTGTTGGTGAAAACAGACATAGAGTGGTGAACGTGACAGAGAAGCAGGATGTTGGTAAAAACAGACTTAGAGTGGTGAAAATGGCAGATAGAAGCAGGGTATTGGCAAGAACAAACTTAGATGACTTTTGAGGGAAAAAAAAAAGCAATGTACAAAATGATGAGAAAACTGCACCAGAAAAAACAAGTTTTTTTCTTGAAATTGGGACCTCAGATACCCCATGACACTGGTCAGATATGTTTGAGCCATGTGACAAGGCTAGAAGATTTTTCAGCAGTGACATGCTTAGAATATATCCGAGCAATGTCACACCACTGAAACATTTCTTGCCACTCTGGCACACTTCAAAAATTTCTGGCCAGTTTGACTTGGCTCAAACATTTCTTACCAGTCTGACACACTTCAAAAATTTCTTACCAGTCTGAACCCCTTCAAATATTTCTGACCACTTTCACTTGACTAGGATATTTTTGAACACAATTTATCTACCCAAACATTTTTGGTCACAATATTAAAGGTCAAACATTTTCTACCCAATCCAATATTATATTTTCTCCCACAGGCAAAAAAATAAATGGCCGCACAATGTATTAGCCTGGATACATTCTTACATTTTACAAGGCTAATAGCTTGTTCAAGGTGGGTAACTGAAGTGGCAACAAGCAGGAAAGGCCAGCCAGATGCTGACTTACATCCTGTTCAAAATCCAGAGCATGCTCTTGTCAGCAACACGCAGGAAGGGCCAGCCAGATCATGCTGACTTACTTCCTGTTCAAAATCCAGAGCATGCTCTTGTCAGCAACAAGCAGGAAAGGCCAGCCAGATGCTGACTTACATCCTGTTCAAAATTCAGAGCATGCTCTTGTCAGGAACAAGCAGGAAGGGCCAGCCAGATGCTGACTTACATCCTGTTTAAAACCCAGTGCATGCTCTTGTCAGCAACAAGCAGGAAGGGCCAGCCAGCCAGATCATGCTGACTTACATACTGTTCAAAGCCTAGAGCATGCTCTTGTCAACAACAAGCAGGAAAGGCCAGCTTCTGACTTACATTCTGTTGAAAACCCAGAGCATGCTCTTGTCAACATCTAGCTGAGACCAGCTTGATGTTGGCTTACCTCCTGTTGAAATATATTCAGTCTAAAGTTGGATAGTCAAGTTTACATACCATATGTGGAAAATAATGCAATATATTCTTAACCATGTCCCTCCACTCTCCCCTTTTTTAAAACAATTTCCAAGCTGGAAATGTAAATCTATTATTCTGGCTAATCAGTAATTTAGCTTCATATCATTACCCATGAAGCAAATACCTCATAATTGCATATTCAATTGACAGAGACAAATTATTTTTCTGCACTGTAAGAAACAGCTGTAAGATTGTATCATCTGAGAGAGTGGCTGCTGTCTTCCTCAGCAGTTCACTGCAGTCACTTGTGGGATTTTGCATGTCTGTTAAACTTCAATTAATTTGTAGACTATGAATAAATGAATTTGTTACACCTCAAAAATACACATGTCCCTTGGGGGGGTACTTTTTCTTATAGAGTTGCTGACCAAAATTCTCTTGAAACCTGGCAACTGATTCCTCTGGAGCTTTCATTGCAGCATCTTCAACATTCATTCCAGTATTAACCAGGTGTTCCATCATTTGGGCATCAAGCATGTCTGCTTTTGTGAACAAGACAATAACAGGAACTGTATGCAGAAAGAAAAGGTCACATCCCAGGAGGTTAATAATAGTTTACACACCTCTACCAGTCCCACACTCAGCAAAGAAATTCAACTCTGCCCTTGTAATTGGTCTGGCTTCATCATTGATTGGAATGCAGTACCTATACAAGATGTATTCAGATGCACTTCAATGTTATCACTCAGTCACTTACCAAATCACATGCAGATGATCCCTGATGTATTTGTAGGTTGAATGTTTTTCCACAAAGTCCTTAACTTTATCCAGCTCAGATGTTCTGCCTGCTTCAAAGCCACGTGAGTCATGAAAGACAAATTCCCTAGTACTCTCAAATATCATTTCATTCAATGTCATGCTCCCCTCTCTGCCACACCTTCAGTAAAGAGTAATAGGGACTGTAGATCCACAGTACCTGTGCAGTTGGATTGAGCTCAGACAAGTCAATCTATCCACATCAATAATGATAGATAGTGAGGTCTAGAACATGGAATACCTTATCACCCTCCTGACTGAAAATTTTCAGCTGTTCTGTTGTATTGCAAACTCGCTGGAGGATGGTTGTCTTTCCCGCATTGGCGCGGCCAATGATAAGGACGCGAAAACACCTGGTGAACTTTTGAACGACTCGTGCTTGTCTCTGTTGTGTTTCTAGATCCTCTGCTCCTTGGAATTCAGTATTAGAAAGAGACATTTGTCACCAGGATGCCTGAGATGGTGGAAGTGGTGAAGAATGAGATAAGCACTGAGTCAAGGGGGTCTTAGGATTCAAAAAATGGACCTGGGGTTGATTTTTTTTTAAAGCCTTACTACCTTGACCTACCTACCTACGTAATCAGGCATGTTTCCATATATGGTAATAGTATGATGTCATCGTCGTGATCGCTTCATTCCTCTACAGTCGCAGACAAACAAAGACAACAATTTCAGTAGCTTGGGAAGAAATGAATATTTTGACAATCTGACTTCAGAATTGAACTCAGGATGTGAAACTATGTCCAAAAACACCCCTCCAAAGTTTTTCCCACAAGGGATTGGGTTGGCCAAAATTTTTGACAATTTTTGTCGTTTTGTTGGGGTCTTCAACAGGTCTTGGGACCCCCCCCTGGCAGGCTCCCAATGCTGGTGGTCATTTAAAAATTAAGTGGCACTTGCTAAACATTGTAATTCTGATCAGAAGTTAATAATATGCATGTGTTGAAGGTGGGGAGGGGAAGGGGGTCAACAGGCCAGGGTTCATTTAGGGTCTGTGGGGGTGGGAAGACCCTGAGTTGCCATTTTAGGTGATTTAAAATCAATTTTTTCTGCAAGAACAGCTCATCAGATTTTCCCCAAACTTCAGGATCAGATACAGAATTGAAAAAGGAGTCGATTGCACTATTTTTCATAATTTTAAGGGTTCATTCAGGGTCCGGCCAATATTTTTGGGCTAAAATTTCCCATTTCATCGATTTCGAAAAATTGGCTCATGTAAATCAAAGTGTTGGGTCCTAATCTCCACGTTTCTGCAATAAAAAGTAATATTGAGGGTTGTGCAGGGTCCCCATCTCACAATCACCAAAATTGTTGTCTTTGTTTGTCCACGACTGTACCTGTGCCAGATGCCTCACAAGCCTGACAAACCCAGTTTCGTGGAACAATTTCCAACGAAATGCAATGTAGGTGATACTGGTGTATAGGTGAGTAACTTGTAACCTCAGCTGGATGGAACATATACTTACCCGTTGTGTTTCACAGCCAAGCCTCTTACATTCAACAACCCCATCCGAATGTGAGTCCACCACCACTCCACACAGGCATCCGTTCAAGGCTGGCATTTGCCTTGGAATGTGATTTCGTTTAGAACAGCCACTTTCTTCTGTGGTGGTAGTATTTACAGCTATTACAGTGTCGCTAACGTTGCAGGCGCTTGGGGTGGTCTCCAACGGCGGCCCAAGAACAGGGCACTAAATATTGTGTGAGTGCATGTTCAACTAAGTATAGATGATACTCACACTGTCCTTCTCCGAGCCCACATCGTCAATGGTGACATTTGTTGCCACGTCTGTTACCGCCGTCTCCCCACTTTCATGTAGTACTCCCTCAATCTCTATGTCGTGTTTGTCTGCCAACTTTGTGTTACGTGTCATGTTCCCCTCGCATCCCTCTTCAAACTCTGAAGTTTGTTCTTCTAGTCCAGATTCGGCGCCATTCGACTCTTGCTCATCCGAGCTGTCCTCGAGTTCTGGAGATTCCACGGCTGCATGACTGGAATATCTTAGTGAGTCACTCTTGTGCTAACAAATTGTTTTTCAGCAAATGTACCCTCTAGAAATGTTGGCAATGGTCTGAACCGGCACCCCTCGACTCCTGCTCGTCCAAGCCAAATTTATGATTAGATAAGATTAAAGAAATATTATATAAAGCTTGAATATCATTGAATTTGGACTGATCTACATGTTCTGGAGTGTATTGGCACTGCAAACCTGCAAGGTATGGCCTTCCAGGCCTGTTTTGAGATCATTTTGTAGAGGGTTCCAATTTTTTTTTCTGGGCCTGCGGCCGACCTACCTACACTGCCTGTTGTACAAAACATTGGGGACAGCTGGGAATTTTAAGCTGACACCAACATCATTACATGTGACTTCAATGTAGAATGGCTGTAGAGTGCAGGTTGGGATTGCTCTAATGGCACAGTGTCGCCAGCTTTTATGTGGTGGCCAGCTATCTCAGCCGACGTGGAGTCAGCAAGAAATGCTTGCGAAAATAAGAGGCAAAAGCTAGAATTGAACCCAAGACCTCTCGGACACAGATTTGAACTGACCACCATAACCACTACGTTATCGTTCCTTAATAAATGGTGATATCAAAGTGACTATGTTATGACAACGATCACAGGGCCTACCAACAGGGATAAATCTAATCAGAAACCCCCTTTCCGCCAGAAACCCAGGGGTCTCTCGTCGTCGGTTTGAAACCCCCCCTCCATCCTCTGTCAAATGTTGTTTGGCTATGTTTTTAGAAACCTACGTCGGAGATTGTTTGAGTACTTGCCGAGCACCTGCCGTCTGCACAACAGTAACAACATTGCCTCGTATCACCCCTCAACGCTTCAAGTCCATCCTTCCATTGTGTACGCAATGACCATGTAACCTCAATTATAATACCCACCGCTGGGGTCCTCTCCACTGACGGCCTCGTGTGGCCTCGTAGAGGATGCAGGCCATCACTCGACGCTTGCCATGCACATCAGAGTCATGGTGCAGCCTGAACACAGAAGGCCGTGCCTCTTGCTTGTGTAGTCAGTGCATTCCAACTAAGACCACAGAGGGTGACAGCCGCCCTACGTGGAGGAGACGAAATGCGGGTATGTTGCCAGGAAGGCCACACACGCTCAGCGACCAGCCTGCCCACTAGTCCCTCGCTCTTGGCATTTCAGAGTACAGTACATACCTGTAATTATAATTATCATGGGCAAATAATACACGCTCTCAGCTTGAGCACCAGTCGGGTGATGTGCTGCTACATACAAATTCACTCCCATTTCAGCAGTGAGTGAGCCGCGCGTCGGACATCAAATATCTTGATTGTTGGCTATTGACAACACCCCAGGTTTCTGCCCAACCAATTCAGAAACCACAGGGTTTCACGTGGAAAGGAGGGTTTCTGGATAGATTTATCCTACCAACAGAGGCAACGGAAACTGGACTTTGAATATTCTCGCTTCCCATCAGACCCTGAATCACTCTGGTCACACAGTGTCATTAGGGAGATCCCAACGTGGCGACGACAGTGGGATCACATCACATCAAGCCTCCCTGGGTGTGGTGCCCACATTTTTTTCCAGCTGGTCGGCAAAGGCTGGTGTCAAGCTGGAAACCAAACATGGACAACAGAAAAAAGTCAAATCTGGGGGCAATGTGTTGTACGATTGGCAGTGTACCCAACCCCCGGTCGGACTTTGGAATCCTAAGACCCCCTTGCACTGAGTGGGCACTGGGCAGTGATGCTCGCTACGTGAGTAGCGGGTTTTACCCTACAAGCCACCAAAGCTCTTGTGTGGGTAAGTTTAGCCATGTTTGGCGCCCTCTAAGTGACTCGTATGGACTCGAAGTGTTCAAACTTCAAATTGCATTGGCTGCGAGGAGCGAACCGCATAAGCGGTTCGGCGACGAGCAGCCATGCCAGCTAATATTAAACAGATCATTTCCTTCTCCAATATAATATGCTCCTCGCAGCCATTAGACGGTCACATAAATGACCAACTGCCGCAAACAATTGTGGCGGGTGAGTCGATAACGCAAATATTATTTGAATTGGTCAATACATAATCGCCGTAGCGAGCTTTGTGCCCGTAGGCGCGCTGCAGTGGTTATTTGTTTGTTTATGCTGGGTCAGCCACAGGAGTGACGTCACTGACTCACTTCTTGCCCTTCCTTCCGGCGGCGCCACTTGACGACAACAGACATTATCACATCATTCACTTGTTCATACAGCTTTATTCTCAAATGGAATTGCCAACATATACACACATCGTTGACTGGAGCTTTTCAAGTCTCAATCTGACCACGACGATCGTGAAAGCGTGCATTAACCAAACGGCGAGGGAGAGGCAAGTACAAACTCCAGGTCAACTTTCCCTGAAGTTTTGTTCCAGTCCAGGTGAATGCCCCGTCGAGTCGCCATTTGAGCTCCAGCAGTGGCGTGAGTTAGCACAGACTAGTCTCCTCGGCAGCGGGATTTTCCACGATACCACTTTCCTTCACTGAGTACGTAGAGGACTCGAATTACGGTAGCTGAAAAGCTAGAAGGTTGAAGAAGTGGCTCTGGTACTCACGGCGCAAATTCAGTTGGAAAAGCCTCATTGTCAACTTGAGTACTACATATCCGATGTAATGTGGGCTCAACTCCTCGAGGCCACGAGTCGAGTCAAGATGAGGAATTTTCATGATACTCCGATATTGAGGTTGGTCATAAGTTGGATTGACGTAAGGCTGCGTTCGGACTCAGAATGCCACATTTTGATGCGGCATTCTGGCCCATATTTAGTAGTTCAAATTATCATCACATGTTTTGCAGGTCCCGTGCAGGGGTGACAATCTGTGACGTCTCCCGTTTTGTTTGTTGATCAAGTCGTCTTTCGTCTCCATTTCCGCAATCTCTCATCGACATCACTCATCCGCATGGCCAAAGACAGCCCCGCCCACTGGACCACTGAAGATGAGGTTGTCCTCATCGACTTCTTACTGTTGCATGCCACTGCTGCTGGTGATGGCGGCAACTTCAAGATGGTTACATTCAACGCTGCTGCACCCGTCGCCGACGCGAAGCGAGTTAAGGGAGGCCCCAAAACTGCGAAGGCTTGTCAGAACAAATACAACTCGGTATGCCCTACTATTCTTCTCACCCTTAGTTGTGCTGAATTGATGTTTGTAGCTTCGTCAAATCTTTCGTGTCATCCAGGCCATTAAGAACAGGTCTGGCTGGACCTGGAATGACGACACTGGTGCTTCAATCACTCCGGAGATGGAGGATGCTTGGTCAGACTTCCTCAGGGTTCACAAGGAGGCTAAACCTTTCAAGAACCAGGGTTGGGCTCACCTCGAGAAGGTCTCGCGGCTCATGCCTGCTACTGTGAAGGGCGGCCATGTTTTCCGCCCGTCTCAGGGCATTTCCGGCATGGATCCTTTTGACGAGGATGATGACGACCTCCCACCCTTCCCTGAGAGCACGCAGGCAGTCGAGGAGATCCGTAATGAGGATGTTGGACAGCTTGAAGTCATTGCTCCACCCCCTGTATGTTTTCTTGTATATATTTTGAATGTTTATTGATTATATTATTTCTAGACCATCCCCTCCACCCCACCTCGATCTTCTCGCAAGCGTGAACGTGCTACCTCTGAGACTCCTGCCCTCACGAAGAAAGTCAAGATTACTGGCGCGGATGCGATCCAAAGTCTGACCACCTCGATCAGTCGCTTCGGTGACAACATCTGCAAAGTCTTAGCTGGCGACCCTTCCGAAAAGACACCCAAGCGTCACACCAAGGCGGTGAAGCTTGCGCAGAAGGAGAATTGGCTTCCCATGGCTGATCGTCTCATCCTGTGCAACGTCTTCGAGAAGGACATCAAGGCTGCCGATGCGTATACTGCCCTTGATGCTGAAGACGTTGAGTTCCGCCAAATGTGGATTCAGGAGAAGGTTGAGGAGGTCAAGGCGTTGAGGGCTATTGTGTAATTTTTCTATTATTGACATGTTCCTTTCTCTTCTCACATATACCTTCGTTATTATCACGTTATAATTCTTTCTTCCTTTCACATCATAATTCTTTCCTTCATTTACCGGTATAATTAACTATGGCTTTGCTCACTCAATCCCCCTTATATCTACATTCATTTAGATATTTACGCTTGTTATAATTTCATCTATTCATGTTCTGGATTAAACTCCTGATCTAAGACCTCGGGATGATCATGCAGGAACTGCTGATAGCTCTCCCACATACTTGTTGCAATCTGGTCACGAAATGCATCTGCCCTGTCTCGTTCTTCTCTTGGGATTGGTCCTTGACCAGGGTCTCCTGTTGATGCTGGTTGAGGATTGTCGTGATCAAGGTCATGAAGATATTGTTGGATATCGGTCTCGTCATGATCTACAATGAAGTTGTGCACAGCTCCCAATCCGGCAGGTATGCGCGCCTGAATATCCATGTCATATTGAGGAGCACGATTGAGTATATCCCAACGCTTTTTGAGGACTCCAAAGATACGCTCAACGACATTACGAGCTTGAGCATGTCGAAGATTGAAAAGTTCTTCTTTGTTGGCTGGTCTATGGTAGGTGTATCAGTTTGGGATCAAAGAGAGATAACAGGATATCACACCTTACACCCGCCCGTCCCCATTCTGCCAGATGATAGCGGACACCACGATAAGGAACAAGTAGTGTATCACAGGCTGCAAAACCTGCATCAGCAAGATAGTACTTGCCCTGGGGGATCATGAAATCCATCAATCGTGCGTGCATGAACATTGTTGCATCAGCCACAGATCCTTCAAAACCCGCTATAAAATAGAGGAACCGAAAATCAAATGAACAGACAGCTAGGCAGTTTTGTGAAATTTGGCCCTTCCGATCTCTCGATGCATGTCGATCAGCAGCTGTTGTCCACGCATTGATGTGTGTCCCGTCCAAGGCCCCTAAGGCATTGGCAAAAAATGGGAAGAATTTAGAGTTTTTGCCGATGTAATCAGAGAGGCTGAAGTTGCAATCTGGGAGTTTGACATAGTGGTCGTAGAATGGACCAGCAGAGACGGCATAAAGAACTTTTTTAAAGTATCTGCCATGTGCCTTTATCAATTGCCATAAATATGAAAAGAGAAAAATAATTACTTGGATATTGTTTCATTAGATCGCTGAAATCTCTCGCCTAGATGGCGTACTGATAAACCAGTGACACAGGCATACAGAAAGATTGCAGCTTGCTCTTCCACCATAACCCCATTGCGTGACATGATGAAGCCACAAAGAAGTTGGAGATTGGCACAAAACATAGTGAAAACATGTAGACGCATCCCAAGCTCACTGAAAATTCGGTCAGGATGGCCATGAATCAGCTCATTGACCCAAGCTGCACCAGAAAGTGCCGAAGTATGGTATGGTTGCTGCCAATAATTGGCTTGCTGATAGAGAGTGGCAGCGATTCCAATGATGTGAAGGAAGTAAGCAGTTACTGTGAGTACCCGCTGTTGTGTGACAGCCTGCTCGTTATCGGAAGGCATGGCAGAACGATGGAAAAGCTTCAGAGAGCGTACCGATCCCGTTGATCTTATCATTTACTATATTAGGCTGTCACACAGATCCTCACGTGTTCAAGAATGTGGCTCGGAAATCCCATCAAAATTTGGCATTCTGAGTCCGAACGCAGCCTAAAGGAAACGGAAGAGACATTTTGCAGGAAGTTGATGAAAGAAGGCACATAGCGTACGACAGGGTTTCCCAGCTGCGAACCAGGATTACGGTGGTGGAAGATTCGCAGGGCACGAAGAAACCGACATGGCCACACTGACGGAGAGAGTCGAGGGTTATGAGCCGAAGGAGTTGAGTGAATCTGGATAAATACGCACCGCTGCTACTTGCATAGTCTTCTCAGGCATAGCCTACTCGAGGAAGGGTAGCTGTCTGTTGGATTTAATTGAGCATCTGCAATAGTTCGAGATTGCTTGCGGTTCGCTCGCCTAAGGTGACTTGTAAGCCGACCGGCGAGTCACGACGCAATCCAAATACATATTCGATGTAACGTAGGCCCAATTTATCGAGGCCACAAGTCGAGTGAGGAGGAGGAATTTTCGAGGTTGGTCATATAAGTTGGATTGACGTAAAGGAAACGGAAGAGACACTTTGCAGGAAGTTGATGAAAGAGGGCACATAGCGTAAACTTCAGCGACAAGACGGTCGCATTCGTAGCCAACCGAACACCCTCTCCGTTTGTCGTCGATCTCTCGCCTCACATGAAGGGTGGTTGACGCGGCGACAGCGAACTAGGATTACGTTTGTGATACATTCGCAGGGCACGAAGAAACCGACTTCGCCTCACTGACGTGAAGAGATGAGGGTTACGAGCCGAAGAGGAGATGAATGAATCTGAATGGATACGTACTGCTGCTACATGCATATCCCTGTCGTCCAACGGCCTATGATACGCGCACTGAGTCTTCTCAGGCCCTACTCGAGGAAGGGTAGCTGTCTGTTGAGCAAATAACTACTCTGCAATGGTTCGAGATTGCTTGTGGTTTGCTCGCCTACGGTGACTTGTCCTAGCGGCGAGTCATGGCGCAATCCAAGATGTAATGTAGGCCCAACTTGAGTGAGTTGGATTGAGGTAAGGAAACGGAAGAGACGCCAAACGGCCTGATGATACGCGCGCTGAGTCTTCTCATTCATAGCCTACTCGAGGAAGGGTGGTTGTCTGTTGGATTTCATTGATCTGTTGGATGACATTGAGCAAATAACTAGCTTGTGGTTCGCTCGCGTGGATATGGTGACTTGTAAGCCGCCATGGAGACACTTACAAAAAGAAGGGAGAATAGGAAGAACAGGGAACCGCCAAATGTTAGACCGCGACGACTATGTGAGTACTAGATATTGGATCATGAGGCCACCAGTCGAGTCAAGGTGAGGATTTTCATGATACTCCCTCCGATATTGAGGTTGGTCAAAAGTTGGATTGAGGTAAAGGAAACGGAAGAGACTCGCTCTCCGTTTGTCGTTGATCTCTCGTTTCACTTGAAGGGTGGTTGACGCGGCGACAGCGAACCAGGATTACGGTGGAGAAACATTCGTAGGACACGAAGAAATCGACATGGCCTCACTGAAGGAGAGAAAAGAGGGTTATGAGCGGAAAAGAAGCTGAATGAAACTGGATAGATACGTACTGCTGCTACGTACCATGCCGTATCGTATATCCCTGTCGTCCAACGGCTCATGAAACGTGCGCTGAGTCTTCTCAGGCATAGCCTCTCGAGGAAGGGTAGCTGTCTGTGGGATTTGATTGAGCATCTGCAATGGTTCGAGATTGCTTGTGGTTCGCTCGTTTATGGTGCTTGTAAGCCAACCGGCGAGTCACGACGGAATCCAAGATGTAATGTAGGCCCAACTTGTCGAGGCCATGAGTCGAATAAAGATGAGGAATTTTCAGGATACGCCGATATTGAGGTTGGTCATAGGTTGGATTGACGTAGAGGAAATGGAAGAGACATTTTGCTGGAAGTTGATGGAAGAGGGCACATCCCGTAATCTTCAACGACAAGAACCCAACTCCCTTTCCGTTTGTCGTCGATCTCTTGGTTCACTTGAAGGGTCGTTGACGGGGCGACAGCGAACCAGGATTACGGTGGTGGAACATTTCCAGGACTCGAAGAGACTGACGGAGAGAGATGAGGGTTATGAGCCGAAAAGGAGCTGAATGAGTCCGGATAGGTACGTAGTGCTGCTACATGTCGTCCAAGGGCCTATGATACGCGCGCTGAGTCTTCTCAAGCATAGCCTACTCGAGGAAGGGTGTCTGTCGGATTTTATCGAGCAAATAATTGATCCGCAATGACAGCCTGTCGCATGGATACGGTGACTTGTAATCCGACCGGCGGAGTCACGACGACCATCGATGACTCTACGTGCACTGCCTCGGGGCACGTACAAAAGAAGGGAAGAATAGGAAGGACAATGAAAGCAGCGAACTGCCAATGTTAGACCGCGACGACTATGTGTTCTTCTGGAAGACCAACGAAAAATAGTGAGTGCGATATGTTTTGTGTGGGGAGGGATGTTGATGGGATAATAGCGGTTGGGCATCGCAATGGTACTCATCACCCTTTACCGTAAAATTGAAGCTTGAAGAAGAAGGCGAGGAGGAGGAGGTGACGTTTGCCTCTGCCGAGCACTGGATGATGGTGCAGAAAGCGTTGCTGTTTGGCGACTATGGCAAGGCGCGTGAGATCTTGGGTGTAGAGGGGGTATCGTCGAGTGACATGGCGCACGTCAAAGCGCTAGGTCGACAAGTGAGCGGGTTCGACGAGGCCAAGTGGGTCGATGCGCGACAGGACATCGTGCTACAAGGGAACATGCACAAATTCTCGCAGAACGGCGAGTTGCTTGAGAAATTGATGTTGACGGGGGATAAGAAGATGGTAGAAGCGAGTCCTAGAGATCGGATATGGGGCATTGGCTTTGGCGAGAAGAACGCGTTGAATCAACGTGAAAGGTGGGGTTTGAATTTATTGGGAATTGCATTGGAGGGGACGAGGAGGAAATTAAATAAGGGAAGCGTGGGAAAGGAGGGGCATGAAGCGTAAAATGTAAAATAGAAACAGAATCATCATCATCATCTCAACAAATGCTGCACACGCAGCCACTCTCGTACGCTCAGCGCGCAAAGAACGCTCAGAACAAGTCAAATCATGGCGACGACAGTCCACCCACTTCACCCACTTTGGCAGTCAAAGCTCTCTCCATCGTCGCCGCTCACAAGGACACGACCATCGTGAACTTTTGGAGTCAAAGGAAAGAGAAGATGGCGGCGGCTGCTGCAGCTGCTGCAACCCATCCTCATCCTCAGCGACAGCAACAACAAAAGACCGTTCCATCACGCGACAACACCACCACCAACGGCGTCGATACGAATAGCTGGCCAGAGGTCGGCAAGGTTCTCGAATCTGCGAGTGGCACGACGACGGATGAACAACAGGAAAGGGAGAAGGAAAACGTGTCACATACCCCGAGGAAAAGTACGTTTCTTCGCTTTCCCATCGATCGTTCTCTCGTAATAACTTGAAAATCCACAACAGCGAAATGGGTTCCTATACCCCCAGAAGAGCTCCAAGCAACTGCAGACGCACTCCGAGTAAAATCAGCAAAATCTTCTCGCTCCAATTCACGGAGTAACAATAAACGAAACACCACCAATGCCAATGCCAATGGATCAACCCAGAACCAATCAGGGCGCCAATCGACGCCAGCAAGCACATCTCACTCACGCGTGAACAGCCGCTCTGCGAGCGTCCATTCCAGCCCTCACTTGTTTGCTCGTGGTCGGCGATTGCCTGATGATCAGGATCACTCCGTCCCTCCCGTACCGACTCTCAATGGAACCAATGCAAATGGTGGTGGTATGAAAGCGATAACAACAACGAAAGACGACGCGTATAGACCGTATCAACCACAGCCTTACCTACCCTCCCCTATCACCATCACGAGGAACACATCAACGGGCTCACCGACGTACCCGTACCCGCACCCGAATTACCCTGCGTTTGAGTATCCTTCAGCTGGCTCTTCGCATCACCCGCTATCAGCGATGCCTGCGCCACAGACGATGCCGGTCCCGCAACCTTATTGGTTCCATCCCAATCCATCTTCGGGGCAACATAGTCCGAATTACCCACCACATAAGCAAGCACAAGGGATGTATTCGATGCCTCAGCCTGTTGTACATCGCCATGCAAGCGGGAGGAAACCACCTGAACAAGCAGCGCCTGTCGTTGTGTATGGGTACGATGTTTCCAACAGCATAATAACACTAGTCCAGCCTGTTTAAGAGGAGAGGAATAGGTTAGATGGTTTGAAGGATGAGGAATAATGGGGAGGGGATGGGACGTACTGGTCCAATTCGTCCCAGGTCTATAATTCCCAACGGAAGAACGCAATCACCACCTCACAAAGAAGAGAGCGAGAAGAGACCATACCTCAACGCAATACTCAACACCATCAACATGGCACCAGGGCTTTGAATAAGCATCATCGGTATGCTAAGCGCGCCAACCACCTTGGCTTTGTATGTGTGTGGGAGTTGTGGGGCGTATTGGACGGCTGCGAGGAGGGCTGAGCTTACGTCTCCCATGAGGATAACTGTGTCGGGAGCGAGGGTGTTAGGGAGGAGGTGGTGGCGAGGAACCAGGTTATGAATGTTACGAGGATGTTAGTGTGGGTAAAAGGGGTGTGTTAGGGAGGAAAGGAGCAGGGGAAAGAAAACGCATAGGTCCACGCAAGCAGCACTGTGTATGTTATCATACTACGTGATATACTTGGCTGTGATTTTGTGCGACTTCGAACCAATTATCTTTCGTTCTCCTAATTTGGATGCTCAAGCGCTCAAGCCTCAAGGTGACAGGACTTGAGGCTGTCCAAACGTGGGTTGTCCAGAGCCAACGCTGTCACTGCATGTTCAACGACTCCGAGAAGTTCGTCGTGTCTGGAGGTACCTTTTCAGTTGTTCAAGGACATTCCATTACATATGGGGGGCAACATGCGGGTGAAATTCAAGGTGAGATCCATCTCGTCCTATTCGACGACTGACTCTTTTTTTGCATCAGGGTTGAAAGTACTTTATGACAACATCGCGGCGGGCGCGATGCACAACTCCAAAGAGCGTCGTGACTCTCCCAAATGCCATCCCGACACTCGGAAAGCAGTATTAAGCGATATCACCAGTTGGATTTCGGATCACAAGAAGAAAACTTGTATCCTCTGGCTGAGAGCTCCAGCCGGCTCAGGAAAATCGGCCATTTTGCAACAAATAGCAGAAAACTTCCATAATTCTGGGGGATTGTCTGCAAGCTTCTTCTTTTCTCGGACAGCTACGAAGAGAAACAGGGAGACTTTCCTTATCGCCACTCTCGCTTCCCAACTCGCGACTTCGATCCCAGCCACTAAACCACTCATCGCAGGAGCGATTGAGCGAGATCCGTCCATCTTCGACCGCGTCCTCTCTGAACAGATGGACCGTCTTGTGGTTTACCCGCTGGTGTATGCTTCACTTCATCCTGAGGGCGGCTATCCACCGTGGCCAACGTTGCTTGTCATAGACGGGCTCGATGAGTGTAATGGAGGAGAGAATCAGGCTGAAATTCTTCGTGTCCTCAGGATAGCCCTTTTACGGTTGAGGTCTTCTTTACCAAGACTTTACCTCCTGATCACGAGCAGGCCAGAGCCAGCCATTGTCGCGGTTTTTGACCACGAACTCTCGGATATCACTCACCGTATACTTCTCGACGACACTTACAATCCCGATCGTGACATCGCGACATTTCTTAGAAGCACCTTCGCTGACATATTCCGTCGACGCCATGCTCACTTCCCTTCTATGTCGTCCCTCCCACAGCCGTGGCCTCCAGAACATGTTATCTCTTTCCTTGTCCAAAAATCATCTGGCCAATTCATCTTTGCTGCGACGGTGATCAGGTTCATAGATGTTGATCGTAAAATTCCAACCGCCCAGCTTCAGCTAATACTCGACGTCTGTGGATCAGTGGATTCATCTAATTTTGCAACTAACCCTTTCGCTCTACTTGATGAGCTCTATAGCCATGTCTTGAAGTCTAGCGAAGAAACGGAGAGGGCTATTTCTATATTTGGGGCTATTTTCTACCTACCTACCGATCAAAGACCGACTCTTGAACTCCTTCGGGCGCTTCTCCGACTCGAATCTGAGGATATTACAATGATCTTTTGGGACTTGCACTCCATCGTTCACATCCCTGTTTATGATAACGATCCTATTCGTTTCTACCATGCGTCGCTTCGGGATTTTCTTGTGGATCGACATAGGTCGCATAACCTATACATTGACGGATCCAAATCCCATTCCTTCCTTCTCAAAATGTGTATTCGAACTCTCACCGATTTTCATGATGGTGGATGCATTCGGGAAAGATCAGCCGTTGCATTGAAGTACAGCATGCAGTATTGGAAGACCCATTATGATTACGGTGATAAACTGGATCCTGGGACTTTGGATAAGGTTCTGGAAGAATACGATTTAGAAACGTGGCTACCATTGGATAGTTGGGCTAGTTTCGATGTCTTTATATCGTGGTGGAATGATTTTGCACCAATGCGGGGCCGCTTCCATAGCCGAGTGAGTGTATTCATTTACCTGATTTAACTCATGATGCTCCCTTCTGACAATCTTCGTCTAGTGTAGTCCAGAATGCTCAGCTTTATGTTTTCGATACACGTCGGTCATTGATCGATACCTTGTTCACCGATTCCAGGAACATAAACTCCCCGCCGTTGTAGCGGCACTCATGTGGTTGACATTATTGAGTCCCATAGAACGTCCACCATTGCGCTGGGCGGGCGATAAATTGATACTACAAGAGGCCGCGTGGTTTTGGAACGTACGAACACAAACGGATGAAAAAATTCAGTTCCTTTACTTTTTCATGGGTTTTCTCTCCAATCCTAGGCGATCCGGTAATCTTTTTGTTGGGAGTGCTATCTCAGTTACCCATTTTGCCCAGGTCTGTGCACAGAGGGCGTGGAGAGGCATTTTGGTTTTGAACCCCCTGTTTGGTTCGAAAAATTGGCTGTATGTTCATTCCGCAATCCCAAATGCGTTGTTACTAACGTGCGAGATAGGTTGTTCGTTCATTTGTGCGACGTGATGGACCTCTTAATTTGCGGTCATGCTCTTGATGGGAAGAGCTCCAAGCCCGCCAATGAGGCGATAATTCAGAATATCAAGGTTAAGCAAACTCCGATTTCTTTGAGCCTTGGTCCACTGAATTGTAATATCTTCATTCGTCGCATGAAGATGCGCATGGAAGACATAATGGACCTTCTGAAATTCGTCGAAGCCAGCGCGACTGAGGATCAGAAAGAATCATTTGAAAGCCAATTGTTGCGCTGGAGAAATACGAAAACGGAGGTCACTGCGCTGATTGATTCCACAATGGTCAGATCTCTCTTCATCTTCAGTGTTGCCTGCGTCAAAGGCTACTCTACTGACATATCTATTTCAGGTACTTTCCCAGGAACAAACGCTCCCAGACGAAGTTAGGACACCAGGTCGTGTAAAACGAAGCCTTGCAACCTTCTTGCGGGCAAAAGGCTTCTTCTCCTTTCGCAGACAACAGAACGAAATGCAGGAAAATCGTTATAATTGACCTCATGGGTTCTGACCATGACGAGGGTGCGCTCTTTGAGTTTACGGGGAGCTTTGTTCAACTAAATTTCGTAGTCACCGACCCAACACCGACCACCTACTATCGTCATGATGAAGAGGTGACTCGCCATGAGTATAAATGATGGAGGTGATGTTGAACATGTAAGTGACAACCGAATGTTAGAAGTGACGCCTGCACGTTCCGAATGCGAGTAGAACGGCCGAGGGCAGGCACTGGAGTTCGCGAGAGTAAAGGTATGTCTGAAATTCACGAGAGTAGAGGTGAAGATGAAATTTGTCCTATATCTACTGGATCACGTGCTACGAGTGATGACGAAACATATGTACTGGAGAACTCGACATTCGTCACGAACGACATCAGCAAGATAACAATTTACTTCTCTGCTTTTAGCAGCTTTTCTGCTTGCCACAAGCAAAGAAGTCAAAAAGCTCAGAAGCTACGCAACCGAAAATGTAACAAACCGAGAAATGAGGAAAACTACACTCTACATTAACCCATCCAACTGTGTCTTTCTCCTAGGACCCCTTTCTGGTGTATATATGAGCTACATATCGCATTTATGTACAACGACGACCTGTGGTTCAGCAGATCAGCTGTCAGTTTGAGCCAAGTTTGATGCCTCTTGTTGTGGAGAGTGTTCTGCAGTGTGTTTTCACACTCCGACGGTCCGGTGGGCCACTCACTCTGCACAACGGATGGGCACGAGACTAGGAAGAGGAAGGAGGGCCAAGACGCAACCAAGACGCGTTGAACATTGACATGTCACCATCACTCGTTTCAGACTCCGACCAAGTTGAACAAGAGCTTTCCCAACCAAGGGGGTTCAAGAATTTAAAAAAAGTAGCTGGGGTCGAATTTTTTTGTAAGGCCCTGTGTGCTTGACCTACCTACCTATGTAATCAGGCACATGTCTATATATGGCAATATGACATCATCATCATGATCGCTCTGATCCTCTAAGGCTTCGCATACCCAATTTCGTGGGGCTATCTCCAATGCAACACATTGTAGGTGGTACTAAAAAATAAGTGAGTGTAGTGATTAACTTGTGCAAGACTGATACTCACCTGTTGAGTCTCACATCCAACCATTTTACCAAGCCATTGCATCCTGAGTGCAATACCACACTGCACAGGCATCTGTTTAGAGTGTCTGATGTGTCGAAAGCATCAAAATGATTCAAGTTTTGAAATCAGGTCACACAGCATACCCATTGGTGTCAAGAACTGGTCTCTAACTGTTTTGTCAGTAAATTGTGATTGATTAAAACATTAGACAAAAATTTGATGAAGATTAGACTGTGAAAAACAATTTTGAAGCCAGAAATTGGGCTGGATATAATGAAATATAATATCCAGTCAAGATAATGTACTATACAATGATATTCTAGATGCAGGAATACTGTAAATCACCTTGGAAAACCAATTTAGGACTATCTTGTAGAGGGTTCCAAAAATCTTTTTTTCGGCCTATGGCCAACCTACCTACCCAACCCCTGGTCCAGCATTCAGATCCCTGAACCCCCTTGTTCCCAACTTCCGCGTCAATGTCTGTCAACGTCGCTCCATGCTCCATCTTGATTCCATCCCGCCTTGAGGTATCTCCTCATGGGCTAACTTGGGGGCTGGGAACTTCCCTCCATGGGTCATTGCATATGGTAAGCATGTTAATCTCATCACTCTCTATTCTTTTCCAACCCCTTTTCACATCTGTCACTAGGCGCTGTGCTGTTGTGGCTGCCTCCCAGCTCCAGGTGTTTGTTAATACCCATTCTTTCTTCACACAGCCGTCACTGTAAATTTGGGACCATGTGAAGGATTGAGTGAAAAGTATTATCAAGAGGTACCGTTAATATGTCTCTTCTGTTCACTTACATTACTAATTCTTCTGTTCTATAGCCAAAATCACACCAGGTAATCTGCTACATAGCTGGATAAAAACACGTAGTATAGTGTGAATTGAATCAGCTTGTTATACTAATTTACATTATTTCCATTTTTTTTTTTTTGGTTTCTCTTTTGACGTCTTTGACTTTTTCTCAGCTTTTTTTCACTTTTTAACTTTTGGTAGAAGCGAGAAATTCAGCTTTTCGAGAAATTGGACTGGGCTTTTTGTCTTGTTGCTTTTCTACTTTTTTCCACTTGTAGCCACTTGCACAAGCCAAAAAAAGTAAAATGTTAAACTGCCGATGGAGGGGGTAATGATAGTAGAGAGTAGTAGAGCATCAGGAAAAAGGACCCCTGAGAATTAATACCGCTGAATGATAGATATGTCGGAAAATTCAAGAAAAACCTAGATGCACCAATATGGTGCTCATATGTGCGCATCAGGTCATCAGTATTTCGGGATGCATTTCAGCCACAGAACTTGTGTATAGGTGTGATAGACCCCCTCACTTAGATCAGTAATTACTGGACGTTTTAGTACTGAGCAGGTGTGTTAGTGGTTAGGTTGACAAACTACGATTTGGGACCGGAATCTTTCTGAGCATAATTTTTAGGTCTCACACCAAAGAGAACGTCAAATCCGTCAAATCAATGTATTTCAAGCTGGGTGTGCACTACTACATAATGGCAGATACTAGACTGGTGTGGCCTCGCTGCCAGCTCTCGTAGAATACAAACGAACCTGACCTGTCATTTGAGCCACCTCTGACGGCATCCAGTGAGTTTGGCAATGTTTGGGCTGATGGCTGGAGTTGTCGTCCTCAGTGTCATTAACGATATCCTGATGTTTTGGGCTGATGGCTGGAATTGCTGTCCTTGTCATTGATGATATCTGGACATCTGGGCTGATGGTTGGAGTTGTCGTCCTCGCCATTGGCTATATCTGCAACCTTGTGACTGAGATGATTCAATTTGGCTTGGGGAGCATCCGAAACGCAATCATATGATATCAGTTAGACGCCATGCAATGGACAACTGTCAGTCACCTTGAACAAGTCAGCTCGGGAAGCGTCCATGCTGAGAACTGGCATGTTCTTGGAATCCAAGGGGGCTGGGGAATTGGAATGATTATGCGACTGCATCCGTGGTGGGTTGATTCCTCCCCCTTTATATATTCGAGCATCTCAATGTTTGCTCAATGTTTGTGGAGCTGTTGTGGGGCTGCTCCACTTTGCACCTGTGAATTTCCTTGACGCATTATGCCAACCAAACAATCAGTGGGGCTCCAGCACCAGCTATGAATGTTTGACCACCAACGGCTTCCCAGACTGTGCTCTATGTTGACTTCTACAAAATTTCCTACCAATGTCACCTCGTCCAACACATTCTAAGAAGTCTGGGAAGCCAATAGGAAGCTCCAATTTGAGAGGCTTGACAGGACTCATGAAGGATACCCAAGATTAGTGTATACTGATACAACCTAATAAACTCTGATGTGCTCGTCCGTGGAAACCTCTCAGCAGTTGCTAGCACTTAGCGCGAAGTTACATGACCTGATAACATGCAAATATGTCTGCCCTTGGAGACTGATCAACACTCATAGGTTCATCAGCTGCCGCAATGACTCATATGCTAATTGGGATTTTTCCGACATACTAAAATCAACAATTTCCAGATTCTTGTCCATACAATTTTGTCAAAGTCTGTCAAAAGTCTAAGGTCGAAAAAATATATAGTGACCTCACATATTTTTGTTGCAAATTGATCATGTCATTTTGCCATTCAACACTCACAAGTGGCTACCACCTTTATCATAAACTAAGGTACTTGCCTGTAGAGCTGTGTGTATAAGTCCACAAGTTTTATGAAAGGCCTTTCATAGGTGTGTCCTGTGTCTTTCTTTCTCATAAAGGCTATGTTCTTTTCATAAAATGTAGGCAAAGACCACAGGACCATTTCATAACATTTCATAGGAGCTTTCATAAAAGCTTTCATAATTATTATCATGCACTTTCTATGAATATTTCATTGTACTTTTCATAATTAAACCTGTGCACTTTCAATAAATATTTCATTGACTAGGTTTGGTGTATTCATTGCCTCTTTCACATTTAATGGTGTGTGCTTTCATTGAAGAATTCATTAGGAATTTTCAGCACTTTCATTGCACTTTTCATAATTAAACCTGTGCACTTTCAATAAATATTTCATTGTCTATGTTAGGTGTATTCATTGCCTCTTTCATAATTAATGCTGTGCACTTTCATTGAATATTTCATTATCAATTCTGGGTGCTTTCATTGTGCATTTCAATAAATATTTCATTGGCTAGGTTAGATGTATTCATTGCTTCTTTCATAATTAATGATGTGTGCTTTCATTGAATATTCTACAGCTTTCACTGGGATTTTTCATTGAGTATCTCTCAATATTTCATTCTGATTTTCATACATACCCCCAGGGCTATCATTACGATTTTTCATTATATTCCATTATAGCAATAAAATAGCTATTAGGGTCCATCCAATTGTAGCACACTAGTAAGGTCCTATCTCACTATCCTTTCTGCTCCCCAAGATGTCTGTCTCATATGCTCATTCTTGATCACTTGCATTGTATTATGTCACACATTACGTAAGCATTGTAGTTATACCTCATGTACATGAGGCAATATCATCTTCTTACTATCACCTACAACTCTTGTATCATTTGGATACCAAAGCCCTACCAACAGCTCTGATCCAAATCTTGAGGTTCTAGCAGATAGGAAACACGAGCAACATTAACTACTCCTTCACTGGGATTGTCTGTGAAGGTTGGAGCACAGGTATGCTGAATGGTCACATTCCATGGCTCCTAGCAGTAACTGCACAGTTTGGACCAACTCCGTGGGTCTCCACACCTTTGACTGTCTAGTCTGCCAGACGATACCTTGACTGTCCCACTACCTAAGTGATACCTACATTAAGTAGCGGTTCACAAAGGTGGACACTGTGGGAACAGTCGACACTCTAGCCAACTATCGACTATCTAATCCAATTCGGTATTCTTACATCTGGTCCTTGTGTCTGATCTTCCCTTCCATGCTCTCATACTTCAATTGCCCTCATTCACCCTGTCTGACTACCGACAACCAAAGAAATCTACTCCCCCTGCAGGTACGTCGCTGTCAGTGACGTGGCACCTGGATGTTGCATGACTAAAGAAATGGGGGGGCAGGGGTTGTGTGAGCTCACCTGGGTTGGCACACAACATCGTCACTGTCCTCGTTGTCGCATCAATGTGGCAGGCACTCGTTTTCTTGCCAAAGCTGGTGACGTGGTGTTGCTGTGTCGTTCTTGTGGTGTTGGGGCATGCCAGGCTGGTTGTGGGTGGTCGACAAGGGTTGTAGGTTGTGGTGGCCATTGGTGACAGTGGTGGTGCAGCGGCTGTGGGTGAGCATCGTGATGATGGTAGTGGTTGAGGCCTGAGGAGTAGGGTTGTGGGACTTGTGTGGGACGCCCAATTCAAGCATGGGCAAATGACAACAATCAAAAATTTGTACAAGTCCTCAACTTGATTTGGGCGTGGCCTTCTGACAACAGAATCTAGCAAGGTTCATTTAGGTATTTCTAAACAGTTGCATGGTGCAGCTGCTAGATTGCTCCCTTCTTCACACACATAATATGTTGTGTAGTTGAGTGTTCGATTCCCAACCTTCACACTATTTTTGACAATGCATGGGCTCTGGATTTTAAACCTCTGGCTGGCTGGCTATTACCAATCCAACAGAATCCACTAAATAGTCAAGGAACTAAGTTGTTACTTGATATTTCAGGCAGAAACTACTTGGACTACTGATGCTGTAGGAAAAACAATCAAGGTCTATGGGGAAATGAGCTGGGAATATTGGGTGTATCTGGAGTATGAGAACATGACTAGAGAGTATCAGCCACTACTTGGAGCAATGGAAGCTACTGACTTTCTGCACAAAACTACTCATGGTACATATCCCATCAGAAAACTATGTATACTTTTTTTTTCCCCTGATGATGGTAGGAGATGGTATATGCACATATATGCACCAGGTACAGCAAGGATTGTATGCACATGTTGGTGCTGGTAAGTGTAATCTCACAGAGTTCCTTTGAGAATGGTGTTTAGTTGTTATCATGAATATTAGAACCTACAACTGAGGTGTAATTTCAAAAAAAGTGGAAAACTATCCCCTAGAAGAGGGGATAGAAAATACTCAAGAAAACTCAAGGACACTCACAGAAGTTAAGCAGGTGTACAATTCTAAGAGTATGGAAGTAGTGTAATGAGAGGAATTGAGGTGGTGATGGTTCTGAAGAAAGAAGAAGGAGAAGTGAAGCATATGGTAAGTTAAATATGCGCTAAAAATGGAATTGTTTCCAAATAAGCATAATATCAGTATTACAACCACAACTGAAAAAAAGACTGGATGATGGTCCAGTTCACTTCAGTCCTACATTTTTTTCGGTCCTATGGACCAGACCTTTAAACACTACAAATTCCTACTGGACTCCTTGTACTGGATTCCACTATACACATTCCTTAGGAATCAAGAATTCTGTGTGATTTGGGATCATTCCAGTACAAATTTACCAGGGCTCCACTAGGACTGGGATCAGTATTTGTGTAGTGATCACCCAACATAGTTTTGTCCCAGTTCTAGTCCAGTCAGGTAGGATTCTGGGAGTCCAGTAGGAATAAGTGGAGGAGTTTAAAGGACCTTGATGAGTTTCAGATAGGAAATAGGGTGGCTTAGACTGTGACAACAACTTTAGGGCACCTGTGGAAGCTTGGAAAAAGGAAAGGCTAATAGGCTTTACTATCATTGACTTTGTTTTGTTTAAATGACACAATCTGGCTTTTGAAAACAATGGGTAATGGCACATCATAATGGTGGGAAATAGAGACATGTATGGCATTTATGGCATTTATCAAGATCTGGAAAAATGATGTGAAATGTTTATAAAACTAAATCAAATGAATCAGAGAAAGACATTGGAAGACTTGGAAGATTAGAAACTCACCAAGACAATTTTTTAGAGCAATCTCTACAAGTGCATGTTTTTTATCCTTCATTTGAAGATGAGAGGCCTCCTGAATCGCAGTTTCAATTTTTGCTATGTCAGCAACCAAGTTGAACTTTTGAATGGCTGATTTGAAGGGGGCAGAAGATGCTGAAGGGTTCTGATTCCATAGAAAATATGAGTGCTCTGCGATGATAGCTGTGGCTGAGCAGCAAAATAGTAGTTACAATAAAGTGGTCAGAAATAATAATACACATACCAATACATAGAAGGGCAATGTCCTTAGAGGTTTTTGTATAGTCAATCTACATAGAATTATATTGTGATCAGAATAGTGAATGGCATTTACACAGTACAGACTTACAAAAGGCCAGTCTGTATAACTGAGGACATCCTCCACCTAGAAATAGTGATTGATTCAGTGAATTGTTATTTTCAAAAATTAAAATTAAAAAATTAAAAATGGGAAGAGAAAATAAAATGCTTACAGCCTATTTGAAGAAGTAAAGCAGCATAAGTTTTCAGAGAAATGCAACTCACAATCTCAGGATTCTTAGCAAAATAAAAGGTGAAGAAGGGTGAGACTTACACGCTATGTAAAACATGGGCAATGCTCTTGTCAGCAATAAGTAGGAAGGGCCAGATGCCAACGTACATCCTGTTCAAAGCCCAGGACATCTTGTCAGCAACAAGCAGGAAGTGCCAGCCTGACTTACAAACTACTCAAAACCCAGAGCACACTCTTGTCAGCAACAAGCAGGAAGTGCCAGCTAGATGCTGACTTACAACCTGTTAAAAACCCAGAGTGTAAGCAACAAGCAGGAAGGGCCAGCCAGATGCTGACTTACAGCCTGTTTAAAACCCAGAGTATGGTCTTGTCAACAAGCAGAAAAGGCCAGTCAGATGCTGACTTACACCCTGTTCAAACCCTCCTGTCAGCACAAGCAGGAAGGGCCAGCCAGATGCTGACTTACATTCTGTTGAAAACCCAGAGCATACTCTTGTCAACAACAAACAGGAATAGCCAGCCACATGCTGACTTACGAACTGTTCAAAACCCAGAGCATGGTCTTGTTAGCAACAAGCCAAAAGGGCCAGCCAGATGCTGACTTACAGCCTGTTGAAACCCCAGAGCATGGTCTTGTCAACAAGCAGGAATGGCCAGTCAGATGCTGACTTACAGCCTGTTCCAAATTCAGAGCACGTTCTTGTCAGCAACAAGGAGGAAGGGACAGCCAGTTGCTGACTTACATCCTGCTCAAAACCCAGAGCATGCTCTTGTCAGCAACAAGCAGAAAGGGCCAGAAAGATGCTGACTTACAGCCTGTTCAAAACCCAGAGCATAGTCTTGTCAGCAACAAGTGGAAAGAACCAGCAAAATGCTGCCTTACAAACTGTTCAAAATAGAGCATGCTCTTGTCAGGAACAAGCAGAAAGGGCTGCCCAGATGCTGACTTACATCCTGTTGAAAACCCAGAGCATGCTCTTGTCAGCAACAAGCAGGAAGGGCCACCCAGATGCTGACTTACAATCTGTTGAACACCCAGACCATGGTCTTGTCAGCAACAAGCAGGAATGCCAGCCAGATGCTGACTTACATCCTGTTCAAAACCCAGACCATGGTCTTGTCAGAAATAAGCAGGAACAGCCAACCAGATGCTGACTCACAACCTGTTTA